AGAAGAAGAGTTACAACACTTACAAACCGTACGATAGATATACCGCTTCTGGACAGCCGTCCGGTGCGGACATGGATTTCATGAGACGCGAGAAAGTCTTCACAAATAACACGACAGCGTCTGAAGCGAAGAGCGGATACTTTGCCGGAAGTGATGGCAATCGCGAGAAATGGACCCAAAATAAAAGTGTGTCCAATAATATGAAGTCTACTCCCAAACCATTCACTCCTAAAGTAATGAATGAAGTGATGAACAAATACTACAAAACATTTGATCTCAATCTAAATGAAGAATAAATGAAATAAAGAAGTTTAAATCTAATTACAATCACATTTAATAATATAATAAATTGTTTACTTTCCATATAAATATTCCAATTCATATCAAAACATACATTTTGTTAATAAAAATACTTTTGTAATCTTATTTTTTTCTCAAAAAACACATTAAAATTTATTTTCGATCAATTTATGGAAAACAAAAAGTAAAATGATTTATAAAAATCACAAAAGTTTATAAAAATATATAATATTATTGTCTTAAATAAGAACAATGATGTCTTCGGGTGGTCTCACTCTCTTCCATACTCGACGCCATTCAACCAAAAATACTGGAGTGAAGTGTTGGTTAAGTATTGAAAAAAGTTTGACAAACATTGTTGACATGAATGGCGCTCTTCGGGAGCCAACACTTGGAGATCGAGACCGCAATCGCAATGAATATCGCAATCAATTAGCTTAAGGTCTTGACAAACGGGCAAATTTGCGGTCAAGTTCTTCAATAAATTGGGAAACACCGGTCCTCTCATCTCAACGCTTGACAACTCTTTGCCAATCAATGCAAACAATTGATTCGTGTCGGCGATGGGTTCGGCATTCATTGTGATCGACAAATTGTTTTCCAACAAATAGTGATTAAATTCGGTAAACGTCTGGCCACTGATGTTAAGGGCGCGAAATGACTCCAATTCGGTGAGCAATTCATAAATAGCTTCAATCACACCAAACGAGTCGTGAATGAACTTAAAGTCGACGTAAATCTCTCTAATGTGTGGCCCATTTCGTCCCGTAAGCCGTCGTATTGATTGGGGAGTCAGTCGATCGCACCTAATAATGGCCAGAGTATGAAGTGTTGGACTTATGTCGCGGAAAACAAACTCCATATCTTGTATACAGTCTGTTACGATCAGCACTTCCAGCGCTACAAACGATGAAACCATTTTACGAACACTTTGCCACTCATTTAGAGTGTTTCCCGCGAATGAGAAGTGAGTCAGTCCTACAAGAAGACAGAAAACATGGTATAACTATATAAACAGAAGACTAAATCAATCAATAAATGAATGGTTAATACCTGCGAGAGGCTTCACAAACTTAGTCCAATCGGTTCTGACGATACCGTGAATGTCATCGAAACGCAAACACTTTAAGTTATGAAAGGTTGCGATAATCCATTTCAACGCTTGGGTCGTGACGTGACAATTGGCCAAATGGACGCATTCAACCGAATGCATGCCCCGAAAGAACGGCGCCAAACGATACACACTGTTGTCCAACTTGAGGGTACCGTCGGGTGCGGTGATGGCGGCCGAGAGGTCGTTGTATTCGCTGGTATTGTGGCGCCAATCGCCGCAACTCAGTGTCTCTTTGAGGCCAAACGTGACGCACAGCTCCTGAGCGGCCATCTCTTGGACGACACTTCGCCAGAAATAACACACTCTTGTGATACCGAACCGTTGTTTAAGAGTCAAGTGAGAGAAGACCTCATGAAGTAGTTTGTAGGGCCCGTCGGAAGCCTTTCTCAACGCGTCGATTGTCACACAACTCACGTAACCATCCATTGATTGGTCGGGTCTTTCGAGGCATCGATTGTCTTCATTAGGTATAAAATTCAAGCGTTTCATTGATGGCATTCTCTTCATTTTGGTGATCATCGGTGGCGAACACTCCGTGTCTGACATCTGTGGCTCAGTTTGCTGTCCATCACTTGTGTCTCCATTTAGATCCAGTTTTTCAATTCCCAACGATTTGGTCGATAACGGAGTGGACGTAAACTGGACTGAAGTCGACTCCATATCAATATAATCAGTGGTTTTGTTACTATCGCTCTCATCGGCGGTATTGTCTGGTTTTGGGGTCACTTTTCTTTGGGCTCGTGTTATGGATAGGATTGAGCCGAGATATGGCTTACCATTGGTCACTACGGCCTCATCGGCGCCACTCTCGGTGTCATATTTAATAAAAATAACGGTCGGTTTGTCGGCCTTTCGTTTGATCCAAACTTTGGCCAAATTCCCGAAATACTTGAAATTACTCTTACGGACGTCGGACTCATTCCAGTCGTCCGGCAGTCCCTTCACGGCCAACACGTGTCTCGTTTCCTCCCAAATCATTCCTCGACAGCACTATTGGACACAAGACTAGAGGCGATCGCTATAAAGATAAGTAAAACTAAACAGTAATGTGTGCTTAAAGTGTGCTTTTATGGCATCAATTGATGGCAAACACATTGAACTCCAAATCACACGCTTTTATCGCAGGTGTGGTTAAAGTCTAATCCAATGGATTAACCATTCATTTGATAAAATACCTGTTAATCCGTTAATCGTTTCAAACAAACTAACTATTGATAGCTTTAACGCAAACAAACAAAAAAAGTTTTACTGAAAACTGCAGTAAAAGTTAAAAAGCAATGGTTTTTGTGTCAATCGCTTGAAAAGTGTGTCAAAAATAAATGTCTGACAAAAAAGCGAATGAATTGAATGAATGATAGAGTGTTTGAAAGCGTGTATTGTTTGCGACACTAATTGAAAAGGCATTCAAACATTAAATCCGATTATTTAGTGATGAAATTCAGTGAAACACTCATAGAATACAATGAGATTCCAATTCTGTGCCACACTTTCCATGCATTCAATGCAAACATTTTTGGCCAACAATTCATTAATTCACGTCATTTATGGTCTCAATTCAAACCGCATTCACTCAACTCGTGATCAAAGCGTTTACTTTTGTGTTTAAAATACTGTAACTGTTATTCAAATAATTGGGACCTTTTTATACGCAATACAATGACGTCTCATATGAAATAGTACTGAATACTCGTCTAATAGTTGTCGTACTATAAGTTGTATATATCAGGCAAAAAAGTCAGTTGTATTTTGTGAGACATTAAACGCAACACTTAATTGTGATTATCTTTAAATTGGATCCGATTTGTGACTCAAACCCAACACATCGAGAGAAGACACGTGTAGTCGATAACCCGCTGAAGACATGTCTGTAACGAACCAACGATTAAGAGTGGGTTTGACTGTTGGGAAGCAGTGGTGGCGTCGGGTGTTGTCGCCGATGAGCGCCACGAGTGGCCACCGAATGGCCTCTTCTTCGGCCAACTTTCAGTTAAAACCGTTTAAATTGCATAAATTGGACGAATCGCCCGACACTGAAGTGACCCTCAATAGGGACGACGCCCTCAAGTATTACCGAGAAATGGTGACAATCCGTCGGATGGAAGCGGCGGCCAATGCCCTCTACAAAGACAAGACGGTCCGCGGCTTCTGTCACCTCTACTCGGGTCAGGAGGCGGTGGCCGTCGGTCTCGAGAACTCTATTCGGTATTATGTCTTATATATGAGCGCAAACTCAATACCAATTAACACACAATGTGTTTGTTTTGTTGCAGTAAAACGGATGCCGTGATCACCGCATACCGGGCCCACGGCTGGAGTTGGATCCGCGGCGTGTCTATGATTGGAGTGCTCGCGGAGCTGACCGGCAGACGACTCGGCTGTGCCCGAGGAAAGGGCGGATCAATGCATATGTATAATGATGTGAGTGTTTGTACAATGAATGCCGTAATTGAATGAATGATTAACAAATGATGACAACATCCTTGCGCTCATTGAGCTCTTCATTGGGAGAGCGCTGAAGAGAAACCCTGGGCTTTGTTCTGACTTTAATCCACGCATTCAATTGGTTATTTCATTTAGATTTGTCTTATTTTGTAATTAAACTCTTGATATGTTTAACAGAACTTTTTTGGTGGCAATGGTATAGTTGGAGCTCAGGTACCATTAGGTGCGGGCATAGCATTGGCTCAGAAGTATAGGGGAACCGATGGGTTAACTATCGCTCTGTACGGCGACGGCGCCGCAAATCAGGGACAAGTGTTTGAAGCCTATAATATGTCTAAATTATGGTCACTGCCAGTGATATACGTTTGCGAGAATAACGGCTACGGAATGGGAACGTCGGCCGAAAGGGCCGCCGCCAGTACTGACTACTATACTCGCGGTGATTATATACCTGGCCTTTGGGTCGACGGTATGGATGTCTTGGCTGTAAGTGAATGAATATATGTTTGCAAATAATGTAGTAATGATTGGATAACTATTAGACCCGAGAGGCGACTCGTTTTCTGGCGGATCTGTGCCGCAAAGGGAAGGGACCGTTCGTCATGGAAGTGGCCACTTATCGATACCACGGGCACAGTATGTCAGACCCGGGAACCAGTTATAGGACGCGCGATGAGATTCAGGAAGTGAGACAAACGCGTGATCCCATCACTTCATTTAAGGTGACTATCATTTTGCTTATAAGATTACACCATTGCTTATCATTACTCATATGGTTTTGTACGCAATTATAGGACAAAATAATAAGCACTGATTTAGTGACGATTGAAGAGTTGAAAGATATCGACAACAAGATTAAGAAAGAAGTGGACGACGCGGTGGCGATCGCCCGCTCGGAGCCAGAGATAGGCGCTGAGGAACTGTATGGCGACGTCTACATGATTTAGTGACGATTGAAGAGTTGAAAGATATCGACAACAAGATTAAGAAAGAAGTGGACGACGCGGTGGCGATCGCCCGCTCGGAGCCAGAGATAGGCGCACTCCTTGACATACCGCTGCAGATGCGGTTCGGTAACCTTCTCATGTAGGCGCCACAGTGAGGTAAGTGACTTGTGTTTGTGGACTTTCAGTTATTTGGTGTATTGCAAGTCAATATTGACGGTAGCCATTTATAGCGTGTTTTAGTTGTTGTGACAATCATTTTGGGAGCGCTTCTCTGTCTGTCATTACTATTATTTACAGTTAAATCTCTACTGAATATCAATTGATAATAATTTAGGAACCGATGACATAATAGACGTTCAAATTATAATAACAAATTAATTGTTTTTGTTTTTAATTTATTTAATTTGTTAAATTTTGCGGTTTTTGTTTGTTTTATTTTTTATATAGAAAATCATCATTAAATGTAGTGATAGTTAGAAATTAATTAATTTTAAATTCTATTAAAATTAAAATATTTAGTTAAATAAATATTATTTTATAATGAATGGTGTAAATATTGTTTTGGTCTCTAAACATCACAATTTCATTGTATTTGCGATTCTTGTGTGAAATTGTTTGCGAATTACGGTAATAGATATTGCGTTAATTATTATACTAGATAATTCTTCAAATAATAAGTTTATAAATAATTTAAAAATGAGACTAATCAATTTACTGAATAAAACAATACTATAGAAGAAAATGCTTATTAAAATGGGACAATATTTATAAATTATACAAAATGTACATTTAATGCAAAACTAAATTATTGGACAAATGTTTATTTAAATTAAAGAATAATGCATTTGTTGTGGTGTTATTGGAAGTGTTACTTCAGTTTCGTCTCTAATGACCAAAGAGTGAACTTTACATATTTTTGCGGTACAAGATATCAAACTGTAACTTAAAGATCTATCCGAATCATATAATAAGGAGTATTTTAAGACCTATTTGTTATATAACAGTATATGTTCACAATTCCGATAACTTTAATTAAAACACTTTTACACATTTCTACTCTATTTTAGTTAAGACAGCTGTCGCTAGGGATAGGCTATTGTGAGTAAAAGTGTTTTAATTAAAGTTATCGGAATTAAAAACATCGACTGTAAATATTACATAAATACATATAATTACATATTTTAAATGTTAGCACATATTTTCACATATTTGAGAAAAATCGGCAAAATATATGAAAATTGTATGCTGTTTTAAAAATTTTGTCAAATAATTGATTCAAAAATGATATTTTTTGCAAAAATTCTAAATATTTTATTTTTATAATTCAAACATATCTTACTATAAAAATCATTACTAGCTCAAATAAACTAAATTAGACGAAGTACAGATGACAAATTTTAGAGTAGGTATTTATAAGTAAATCTGAATATTTTAAATGAATACCACCAGGAAAATTGTATAAATCGTGAATTATTTGAGTGTTCCATCATAATTTGTAAATAATACAATATTTTAACTCTTTTTATACAAAAATATCAACATTTTTGGATATTTTATTACCACATATAATTACATATTTGTCGAGTTATTACCACATATTATATTACATATTTTTGGGCTTATTACTACATATATGTTCACTCTTTACTAATGACAGTTATTTTCAATTCATTGTATGCTTTCAACAGTGTTTGAAACTCATCCTCAGAATGCACTTCAAATTCGTTTACTTTTATGATGATATCCAAGTATGTCAACTGAACGGCAAGTTTAGTATCTAAAACTGAATCAAAATCCAAACGATTATTCAAATGGTCAAGCGGTCGAAAGTAATTTGCGATCACATCCTATCTATGCAATCGTTGTCCGCACGAAACCTAGACTCTGGTCTCGAGGACTCGATCCGAAGACTTCTGATCGAATGCAGTTTCGATTACCGCCTAAAACTTCGCTCAAGGATTGCCCGATTTCTCGAAGAAGAAATTGGACGCAATTCATAAACACATTACTCTTCTTGTCGAAGATTAGCACCAATTCGCTCGTCAATTAACAAATTGACACTTTTCTACGAAGGCTTGTACCGTATCGTCAGTCAGATATTGCTAGTAGACTATGGTATTGGCAACGATTCGATTCATAGAAGCTTTTTTCGCGTTCACAAATTACACCCGAAGCTACTTTTCCATCGTCGGGCCAGACAACAAACGGGGGAATGTCGTGAATGTGAATCACTCACTCCTTGGAATATTCCAGTCAACTGTCATCATGACTTCGATGAGCTCATACACCACTCACTACTCCTATAGTGTCTTATATGCATACTAATGTACTCATTATTATACTGTTAACTCTTGTATCTTGGACTCTTATATCTTGGATTTTTGCCTAACTTGAACTCAAACCTCGAGTCCCAATTCACTCCATAGGAGCTTAATGTTAAATTCTCTCCTAACTTGGACTTTCTATCTTGAACTTTGGACTTATTTCCCGAGACCCATAACTATTTTAGTGTCTCGTAACTTGGATTTTTAAAAAATACCATAAATATCGTCGCATAAAAATTATTTTAACAAAAATTATACATTTTTCGGAAATTATGCTGTTTTGTTGTTTATTAGTTATTTTACGGTCATTTTACTATTAGTTGTTATAATTAAACTAATTAAAATGTGTTATAATCCTAAATTTAATCTGTATTTTACATGAATTTAAAACTGACCTATCTTGGATTTTTACTATGTTTTACTATATCTATCTTGGATTTGTCTATCTTGGATTTCTTCTATCTTGGACTAATTTTCCTGGACCGGGACTGGTCCAAGATACAAGAGTTAACAGTACTTACCTTTATGTCACTATGTATAAATCGTAGTCTATTCTAAGTCCTCCAGCGAAGGCATTTCTCGCTATTCTTATATTATTATTAAAGTTATTGTATTTTAACTGTGTACCGATTAAAATCGTAGACCTATAGACAAATCGAACTAACAAAAGTAAACTCGAATATTTCGACAAATTTTCAGTCTAGAAATTCAAATATTACTTTACGTTTATTGTTAACTGTTGTCAAGCAAAAACGATAAGATCCGGTTTGATCTACGATTTAGGTAAACTTTTATAATGTTAGATATAATTAATTTTGTTCTGAGTAATACCCCAATTGTGGTTAACGTATAGCATCGCTGTGTGTGAGTAATATTGAAATTGTGATTATAAACACTTAATCTTTTATAAAATATCAAATGTCTTTGAATGTACAAAGTTAATTTCATTGAACATTCGAAAAGTTTAATTAGGTCTAAGGTAGTATTTAAAATCGGTTCCATGGCGTGCAGCACAATGTTATAAAGCATTCATTTCAATGAGATAACGTCAGGTCTACCGGACAAAACATTCACGTGCCAATTGATCGCTAATAAATATCAAATGTCTTCAAATGTACAATGTTACCTTCATTGAACATTCGAAAAGTTTAATTGGGTTTAAGGTGGTATTTAAAATCGGTTCCATGGTGTGCAGC